TTTCCCCTGCCAGCTCTGCCTGCCAATTTGACCTGTTGCCCAGCCGTGATCAGAGGCGAGCAAATCAGTTTGGCATTAAAAGAAGACGACCAAAGTTAGCCCCGGATTTCAGCCCTCAGACTGCCGAGATAACACTTTTCCCCTGGGACGGTCAAAGCTAATTGCAGTGAATTGCCGTTCAAGGTGCATGTGGAAATGACTGTCCTTAACTCCCACCTGTTTTGATGCAGTCAAAGCCAGGGAGAATCAGGCCTGGGATAAACCCAATGTCTCTTTTCAACCCTAGCGACAAACTATTGCTGCCCAGAAGAGACGAGAGCAGTTTTCAACCTTTTTTTTCATTTGAAGACCCCCTCAAACGTTTCAAATGAAGGTGTGGACCCCTTTGGGAATTTCAGATGGAGGTGCAGACCCCTTTCACATACTTTTGAATGATCGTAGTTATCTTTTGAGGACCCCTTAGTCTGCAGACCGCCGGGGGTCCGAGGACCACAGGTTGGAAACTGCCAGACTAGAGAGAAGAGGCAACAAGTGGAGATCAGAAATAAATGGAGACAAAGCAGAAGGATGAGCAGAGGGAGCAGTCTCGTAACTGAGCCATGTGTGTGATCAGCTGGCTTTGGATCATATTTGCTCCATCCTTAGACCTGGCCCCTACTCTTTTATTTTTAAAGACTGTTTCTTGCCTGCCACCACTCTCTGCTGGCCCAGCAGATCCACCCCAATACTGCAGCTGCTGTTGGAGTTACGCTTGTGCCAGATGGGAAAGATTAAACCATATTCTTATTTACTGTGGTTTCTAGGAGGTGACAGGAGGGCTTGAGCCAGAGGAAGATTTTCTGTAGCAAAGCAGGGCTCGTGGCTGAGTTAAACTGTCTGGAACTGGGCAGCAATCGGAGACGGCAAGGTTAAAGGAAACCCTAATAATAACCTTTAAAATGCAAATGTTAGTATTAGGTTGGAAATGAAATCCAGCGACTGAGTAGCATCGGGGTATCATTAGGTTTGTCTGTTCCTTTCAGCAAGTAGAGGCTATTGGTAGGACAAGGAATAATTATGTTATTTCCATCATTCATTAATAACACCCAACTGTTATCTTAAGCTCTTTCATCTCAGTGGATCCAGGGCTCTGCAAACCATGCAAATCCATGCAAGAACTATTCCACTGACAACTGAAATGCAGCCACTTCTGGGGTGGAGCACAGAGCTGCTTAGAAACATTACCCACAGCGTCGAGGCTTTCTTTGCCAGCGCAGCGGTCTCAGACCGACATTATGCTCATAAAAACATGTCGACAGCCCAGGAGCAGATCAAAAGGGGGTCTTGAACTAAGCCAGCAGCTTAAGAGTCCAGAAGAGCACTGGACAGCAGCTCTGGGTTGGCAGCGTCCGAGGGGAAGATGTATGACTAGGCCCTAAGGGAGTCTAAGCTGATATGACTTGGTACAAATCTGGGGCAAAATCAGAGGAATATTACTGTAAATCTCACATTGGTAAAGGGGGGGTGGGGGCTGAAACAGTTTAGTTTAAACACAAACTTAGCCTGGTTTAAATGAACTAAGCCATTCCAGCTCCTCTTTGGACATTCATTTTACTTTAAAAACCCAACAAAACAGGTTATTTGGGTGACACACCCCAGTTTCTAATTGTTCTTTCTCCTGGACTTTGTGCAGCGAGTCCCACTCCCAGGAAACGGTAGGATTGTACCCTGCAATTGCAGCTCAGCAGCGGTCTATGTGCTGTCCTCTGCGATGCACCCTGAGCCCTGTTTTTTACAAGCGGTGAGCCCCAGGTCGTGGGAAGTTAGACGCAGCCATGCAGAAGGAGGCGGCACGCGAGGCAGGGGAAGAGTGATTCGATTAGCGTGCGTGTATGGTTCTTGTAGGAGGACCTGCTTTACAAGGAAATAAAATTAAGCCATTAACAGGGGAATTAAGATTTAGTGCACACTCTATACTGCATGCATATATATATAAAGGAGGCAGCTGTTAAAGATAGTATGTGACAAACTCCTGCTAGTGCTAACTGGATTACTTGCATTTATTTGGAAATACTTAGGCATATTATCATGCAACGTATGGATCATCATAATTCTGCTTTTCACTTCATCCAGGCCTTACCTCCAAGCATCTTAGAGCTCATTACAAACAATTAAGCCTGCCTGCACCTCTGCACGGTGTCCTAGGGTATATCCCCTTTGCAGGAATTGGGTGTATTTATCACAGGATCGTATGATTGCTTTTTCAAATGATCTGGGCCAGATCCCAAAAGGGGACCATTAGTTGCAGCTCCAAATGTCCATGTTCAGGGACTGACCCAAAGCCCAGGCCACTCAATAGAAACCTTCCCGTTGGCTGCACTGGACTTTGTCACCAGCCTCCGTGTGTTCCCAGTGGTTTTTTGACCTTGAGCCTTGTCTCTTTTTGCAGCTGGTGGGGTGCAGGCGGGGGAGTCGCTTGCCCTCTACCCTTCCAGCGTGTTCCAGCTCTGTGGGTTGGGTTGAGGGATGGCCGAAAAGAGCCCTTCTACCTGAAACTTGAGAAGAAAGCAGTCCAAGTCCCTAAGTCAATCTGAATCCCTAGTGGAGCCTGTCCAAACAAGGTGTTGCCATAAGTTTTGCCTTTATTTGAACCCTATGCTTCTGTAGTGGGCTCATGGTGCTGAGTGGTAGTTCTTCTGGAAAGGACTGGGTATCTCTGTAAGCCATGGCCCTGTTTCCTATGCCCTGCAGACTTAGCTGGCACAGCATCACTGAATTAGGCTGTGGAGTTAAAAAAATAAAGGCTGAAGCTGCCCGTGTTCAGCAAAGAGACAGTCTGGAGCCAGGGGTCTGCTGAGCTTTGCACGCCGAGCTTCCCCGGCACTGTCCCCTGCAAAGGCAAAGTAGCAGGGTGGTGATTTCTTTGCTCTGCATCCTCGGTGCATTGTTCCAGCCTGCCAGGGCCCCAAGGCTGAATGAGGGGATCAAGTCCAAGCAATCCCCGTCTGCTTCGTACATCCTCACTAACTGTCCCCACGAAGTCTCGGTCTTGGGGAGTTCGTCTTGCTGCCTCCCTGTCCAGGTATAGGGTGTAGGAAGCAGAGTCCAAAAAAATGGCAGCAGTACCCAAAGCAATTTTTGGATAACTCCTCTTAAGGCCAAAGCCCATGGACACGGGTGTTTCTTTCTACACAGAGCTGATATAGATGGGGACTCATGCAATGGCTGCAGCAGGGACCCTTAAAGAGCCTTCCAGGATCTGACAACAGCGACACCCTCAGCGCTGCTACAGGGAACGCACTGGGAATGGGTAAAGGAGCTGGGACCATCAGTCCTGCAAAGCGAGGCCATCTTCTGTAGGAACCACCTGCGCCCGTGCTGTGGCCACCGGGGAAATAATTCTAGGAACCGGCTGCATCTGTGTCATCCCCACTACTCTGGCTTTGCCTTAAATAGCTCTTAAGGAACTAGTCATATCAATTTCATCAGCTGCTCCAGAGGAGCCAATTTATATAAATACAGCACTCGTTAAAGAAATGGAACTTGTCAACACTTGAAAATAAGTGACAGGTCATTACAGCTTCCTGCAGTCTTGCATTGTGCTGCTATTACACGCAGCACCTGAGTGACGTTACAGGATGATGGTAGATGCAGGTGCATATTAATCAATGGTGCAGTCTAACCTCCATTTGAATAATTGACCATATGCACATGTGCACCCAAACGCCCCCCCCCATAAAGGTCCAAAATGAGCGCACTACGCTTTGCAAAATAGGGCACGTGGTCTTCCCGTTTCCCATTTATACGAGCTTGTCAGCACGCTGCAGTCGGTTCTGGGCACTTGCAATGACAAACAGATGTAGAAAAATTAGGGGGAATTCATAGACCAGCAACAAAAATGATGAAGGGAGCTGAAGGGACTGATTTTGGAGAGGGGGAAAAACAAATCAGTCTGGCTATTTATAATGCTCCCTTCCAGCACAGTGTCTAGGCACTGACATTTTTTAAAAACACATATCTAGCTTGGCTAAAGGGTAGGATAATTGTTTAGCATTATTCAAAGGACTCATACATCAAGGATGGAGAGGGATTGGATAAAGGAGTATAACTCAAAGCAAAGCGATAAAACTGAAAAAATGTAGGTTACTAGGGAATACTTCTTGATCCGCGAGTGTGTGGAACAGCCCTGCAAGGGGAGTCACGGTAAGTCCAGTGCTTGGGATGTTGGAAAACGATAAGTCTACAAACAGGCGCCGCGGGCAATGCTGGTGGAAAACGTCCTGCCCAAACTGCTTTTTAAGGGAAATATGGGATTTCAGGGAACTGAACTATTTGATGCTTTCCGTTCTTGGGAATTTTGTCAGAGTCTGTAGTGTCTGGCTTAGTTCATGTTAATTCATTCTCGTTGTTCCCCAGAAGAAGGTTTTATTGTAGTATTTAGTCCAGCTCTTAGGGCTCTGTCCAATGTGCTTCTTTTGGGGCAGCGGTAGACACCTGGCATGGTCTGGAGAAGCCCTGCACTTCCAGTCCCCAACAGGGTATTTCCGACCTATGGGGACTTTTTACCATCTTTAATTTTCCCAGAGCCTGATGAAGGGCCTATGAGCCCGAACATTGCAGAAAAAGAGATTTTTTGTTTGTTTGATGATTTCCTAGTCGGTCTAATCAAAGGTATCATTTTGGAACCGCAAGTTCTAGATTTGTGCAGTCCTCAACAGGCCAAGTTGGTCAGTGCAAGTGGTGGCTTTGCTTGCTTTGAATGCCTGGCACCGCTAGAGAGGTAAGGTAGGGGCTGCCTTTGGAGGGCTTCCAGACTGATTGGTTTGCAATGGGGTGTCTGCATTGCAGAAGCAGGGTCAAGGACCACGGGCACCAGCTTTTTGTCTTGCAGTGCAAAGGCTCCTCGGCCCAGCAGATGCATGTGGCGAGGGCATCGAGGATCACTGATGCTGCTGGAATTCGCTGAGCGATGCCAGTCCCAGCAGGGCCTAATTCAGTCTTTGTCTTCCATTCCCTTGCAGGACCTCCCACTCCCGGGCGAAAGCGGACGCGGCTGTGACAGCAGCGCAGAAAGCTCAGGAGGAAGCTCGGATTGCCAGGATCACTGCCAAAGAGTTTTCGCCTTCCTTCCAGCACAGGGAAAATGGTCAGTCTGCGCTGCCGAGCCTGCCAGACTCCCGGGATGACTTCATTCTGTGTGCGTGCGCGTGCGTGCCTGCGTGTGCTGTACGGTACGGTGCGGACCGCGGCTGCTCCTCACGGGCCTCCTCGTGTCTGTTATCGAGCCGGTGTCGATGCTGCGCTCTCAGAGCCGAGCAGCCCGTTAGAGCTGTCTCCCGTCAAGGCTTTGAGCCTGACCTGCCTCCCTGAGGCTTTCGGAAATGTTGCCGGTCCATCCCCTCCTTGCTCAGCTCAGATTTTGATCTCATGAGATGCTCACGGGAAAACCACGGAGCTTTTCTCAGGTTCTGAAGCCAGTAGACCTGTCTTTGCCCAACCCTACAGGCCATTCACCCAGAGGCAGCGGTGTAATCAAAGCACTGAAAGGCTAGATGAGCCTGGGCAACCTGTGCACAAGCTCAAACCCTGCTGGCATCCCGGGATCAAGCTAGTGAGGGTGCATCTCATGCTTTGCTTGTGCTTCGTGGATCACCACCACATTGCTCTGCTGCCAGTTGGGTTGTAGCACACGTTGTATCGCAGGTATTGCAATCTCAAGTCTGGGAACTTTTGCTTAACTTAAAGTCCCAGCCTCTGGAGTCATGTGCTTATATGGGGGACACAGCTTTCATTTTCATTCCCAGTCCTTTGCTGCAGAGAAAAATCCAGAAGCCAGAATGCAAAAGCAAAGAACCTCAAATTTATTGTTCTTTTTAAAGTTTAATGATTCTGAACTCAATTTCATGGGTTTTGGGGCCCAATTCATGGTTTTTGTACATTTGTGCTTAGCAGTGTAGCTATTGATCTTTGTTTTTTAAACCCTTCCTTCCTTCTGTACAAACATATGAGTTCAACTGCCTTGGGCTGTGTGTGTGTGTGTGTGTGTGTGTGTGTGTGTGTGTGTGGGCCATGTGCAAATGCATACTTGGTGAATGATCACGTGCATCTGTGAAAGTGTTTGTGCTTGCATGTGTGTGTGTGTGGGGCGAGCCATGTGTGAATGCATACTTGGTGAATGATCATGTGCATCTGTGAAAGTTTGTGCCTGTGTGTGTGTATGTGTGATGGGCTGTGTGCAAGTGCATACTTGGTGAATGATCACGTGTGTCTGTGAAAGTGTTTGTGCTTGCGCACGCACACGTGTGTGTGGGGTAAGCCATGTGTGAATGCATGCTTGGTGAATGATCATGGGCGTCTGTGAAAGTGTTTGTGCATGCATGTGCAAATGCATTCACTAACAACCATGTTTGTGTGCATGCCTTTGTCATCGTTGAGAAAAGACGTATGACTTCACTTCTGGTAAGAATAGGAGAGTATTTGTGTGATCGTGGATGCATTTGTATGTGGTCTGAGGATGTGCCTGTATTTGAAAGACTGAAAGAAAGTGTGTGTGTGTGCAAAAAAGAGAGAGAGAGAAATGTGGTCCCTCATTTGTAGCACTTGGGCCTGGTTTGAGAGAGCAAAAAGACCCGTCAGAGACATTTTAGCAGCCACCGTGTGGGACGATTGGGAGGAAGTGTCAGCTCAGCCTAGTGGAAAGCCAGGCTTGAAAGCATCTTGTTTCCCTCTGGGACCTGTACTGCTACTTGCTGCTTTGTCCAAAGTTTTGCCCATCAGAGTATGAAATTTGCCAGGCTGCAACAGAACAGCTTATTCAGACCAGCAGGGCCGATCCCATGGAAGCTCCCGGAGGAAACAAAGCCCAAATAAATGACCTCTGAACTTACGCAGGGCTATGCTGGGCCAGAAAAGCTTCTGGATAGCTCACTCCTTTAAAGGGTGACCAAGTGTATGTATGCTCACCAGAGAGTGGGAGGTGACAGGTATAAGTAAGGGTGGGTAGAACTACGTCTAAATGGCAGTAATTAACATATTAATTAATGTATGTGCATGGTATTATGCAAAAATTTGAGTGTACAGCACCATCATTACAAGGCTTCTGTCATCATTTTTTTTCTCGCATCCTTTAATTGGAGGTTACTCATCCATCTTAATTGCTTTGGGGTCTAATGTTGGTGACTCATTGCATTAGAGCTCTTCCTCCAAGTCACTGCTGAGCCACCAGGCTGGCAAAATGCTAAGGGATTGCTACATTTTTGGGACAAGGCACTCCAGCAACTTGTTGTAGTCCCTGAAGGATCTCATAAGAGCAGCGATGTGTTCTCTGTCCGTGTTCCCCATGAGGTTTCAAGTTGGACGGAAGATTATACTCTGTTATATATTGGTGCCAGGTTAAAATGGCATGCCTGTTCCACCCAAGAGCTGGATGCATTTCACTGCGGTGTGATACGATTCTTCTATGAATAGACAGAAAGCTGAATTCCTCCTCTGTATAAGTGGGCTGGAGTGCTGCTGTAGCTGTGATGGTCCAGGAAGATGTATGAGGCAAGGGTTTTTTTGTGATATCTTCTATTGAACCAACTGTATAGTTGGGAGAGCTGTTGGGGACAAGCTGTCGGGCATCAAGTGCCCTTCCTCAAGTCTAAGGAAGTTAAATATAAGTCTGTTGGCTCCATAGAGTTACCCCAAAAGGTCTTTGGTTGAAACCAGATAAAATCTGTAAACGCCTTGACACCCTTAAGCATGATCCATGCCGTGTAAGTACATATTATTGTTGTTATCATGCCAACACTTATTTCTGAACAGCCACAGTGTCTTTTAAAGGAACTGATTTTTTTCTACCTTAGATGGCCTACAAAATCCCTTCTCATCCTTGGACCACACTATCAAAAGGAGCTTAGATAAACCATCAGCGGGATTAGTGTATAGGAAAATCCTTCTGCAGAACAGGGATGGACAGGAGCTAGCCCTGGAAAACTTTTGCAGCCGCCGATCGGTTGGTGGTTTAGCACATGGTGGCAGTGGAAGCATTATATCATGGGCATAACCATTAAAGCACCCAGGTTTTGAGACTTCCCTATTGCTGTGGGGTTAATGCACATTAGTATAATACCCTCCTACCAGCTAAGACCCTTTAGGGGAAAATGTATGCAATTGAACATGGGACCTTCAAGGTCCCATAGAAATTACTCTGGAAGCCTGTACAATTCAAAAGGACGTTAGAAATCACCCTTCTGTCTGAAGTTTTTTCAGCTGCTGTTGTGACTTGTAACCTCAAAAGTGGCAACACCTAAAAGAGATTAGAGAAAAAATCTTCTGTCTTGCTCAAGGCGTTCACTTAGTGCATTTGCGTGTCGTCTCCTGCAGTCTCCCTTCTGCGATCGCTCTTGCTCTCCCCTGCTGCGGGTGTGAGTCTTGCACATGGCAGCAGGAGAAATAAAACAGCTTTAGAAGCAGGCAAATGTAGCTGTAAAGCCACAAAAAATAGTTTGCGGGGCTCTGGAAGTGTTTTAGCTACGCTTTATACATGACTAATCACACCTGCTTGGAGATTTCACTATCAGAGATCAGGAAAGGTGCATGCCGTGACCTGCAGGCACCCGTGTTGAATATTCCCGCTGCCTTTTCTGCACTTCCTGCTTTTCTTCAGCTACATTTCATGGTCAGTGTTGGGTTGTTTTCTAGATAGTATTATTCCAGACCCCAGCGGGTAGAAAATAACAAGACATAAAGCCTCACAAATCTATGCAATGCAATTAAGAGCAGCTCTCGGCCTGGCCTTCCTGCTCTATGTTATTCCCATATCTCAGTGGCACTTAGTCTTGGGCACGGCAGTGCCAGCGTGGTGGACGGTGGGTGTCCCATCAGCATACGAGAGTTAGGGCCTGGAAAAGAAGGGGCTAAAAGGAAAGCTCAGTATTTTCCATGTTGCATCCCTTTTTCTGTCCTAAAATCATAGACTCATAGACAATGAGGGTTGGAAGGGATCTCAGGAGGTCACATCTAGTTCAACCCCCTGCTCCAAGCAGGACCAGCCCCAACTACATCATCCCAGCCAAGGCTTTGTCCAGCCAGGGCTTAAAAAAGTCCAAGGATGGAGATGCCACCACCTCTGGGTAACCCATCCCAGTGCTTCACCACCCTCCTAGCGAGAGAGTTTTTCCTAATCTCCAACCTCAACTTCCCTTGCTGCAGCTTGAGCCCATTGCTCCTTGTCCTGCCATCTGCTCCCACTGAGACCAGCCTAGCTCCAACCTTGCAACCCCCTTCAGAGAGTTGAAGACTGCTATTCAATCAGTCTTCTCTTCTGCAGACTGAATCAGCCCAGCTCCCTCTGCCTCTCCTCACACATCATATCCCCCAGCCCCCCAACCATGTTCGTTGCCCTCCGCTGCACTCTCTCCAACTTTCTGCAGCAAGGGGCCCACAACTTGCAGCGCGAAGCATTTGCCTGGCTGTTTAAGTCAAGAGCCGTCTGTCTGCTCTGCCTGGTCTCCACTGCATGCAGGGAAAGGGAGTGGAAAAGAAGCTGCAAAGAAGTCGCCGTCACTCCCTAACCCTACAGCCATTCGGTGGCGGCTGAGTTAGGAGCTGCTCTGCTAGACCCTGGCTGGTGCCAGCGCCATCTCCTGTGGAGACCTCCATGCTTCCAACTGGTAGGGCTGAGCCCAAAGGAAACCCCAGGCTTTAATTATGGATGGTGGCCAAGCTTGGCCAATGTGACCACCCCAGACCACGGCAGGTGGGACCTGAAATCTGGATCTGAATTTGAGCAGCCCCACGTGAGGCTGCGTTCACACTGGCTCCGGTATTGAGGTGGGTCCTAGATCTGCATCCTGGTTTGAAGTGTCGGGCCACGTCCGGCAGAACCCAGACCCGCTCAGGTAGGGCCCCGAACGAGCGTGGTATAGGCATTTTCCCACGACTCCGTGAACAAGAGCCACGACACCGTTTCTAGCGTGAACCGGCTAACAAATTTGGTAAAGAGGGAGAAACAAGGATCTGACTGAAATGAGCATGATTATCGCAGATTTACGAGTTGTACATCAGACATCTGAGTGTTTTAACAGGTCTCCCCGTTCCCAAGGGGCTTTTCCAACCCTGGAGTTATTCAGTATCTGCATTCGCTATTGCCAGGAGATTTTCTCCTTTTTAGCATCATCTCTTGAAAAGATTTTTGAGGTAATACATTTTTTA